GATGTTGCTTTTCTCAAGGCTGTTTTAGATGACACACAGAAGGTACTAACCACAACATTTATTGAAATCACTTGCATACTTGGTCATTATTGGCTGACTTGAATTCTTTGCAGGAGTTGCACTCAACAAGAGGTGTTCTTTCTGGAGAAAGAGCCAGGGCATTCCAATTACAGGTACATTTTTGGGTTCATTACTAGAGTAAGGTTTGCTTTAAGGTGAGTTTGGATGGGGGGATAAGGTAAGAAAAAATTTCAATGAAACTCTCTTTGGAAGTTTGTTAACGAGGGAGTATAAGAGAAGAAAATCCTTGTTCGCAAGTTCTCCCAATCTAAAAGGTTTTTTAGAAGAATGTGTTACCAAACAAAGAAGTGAAGTAATCATTTAACCATCAGTTGCCCTTATGTTTTTTGTTGAATTCTTTCTCTTTCCTTCCTAACTTGACTCCCTTGGGTACTCTTCTCATCCAATGACTTAAAATTAATTTCTGGAAGTTGAATTTTTGTCTAGAAAAGTGTCATCTCATATCCCCTAAATTCACAAAAATGGATGTACGTATTCGGGAGGGAAACAGAGACAGGAGATGATGAGTGAAGCAATGAAATGTGGACTCCATACAGTCATTTTCCTATGTTACCTGCCCCCGCCCCCCTCCCCCCAAAAAAATAGCATGAATGTAGGAGATCCTTTTTTTTCTTGGGCAAAAAAAAAAAAAAAAAGTTCAGCTCAGCCAAACTAATCATAAATAAGACATGTAAGCATGTCCAAATCAAGATCTCATTGAGAAATGCATTTGCATGCTCACATATCTCTTGGATGATTAGTTTGATCTTTATGGACATGAGAATATTATCTATCTGAAATGCTGGTGTAGCTTTGGAGTTTCAGTTCCATTCCATTCAATGCTTAAGTTCAACTAGACGGTAGGATCTTTGTATTGCATGCATGGAGCCTCATATAATTAATCATACTATCCACAGATTATAAACATGTAACTTTCTTAGGATTTATAGATTATGGATTATATTTATGACGAAGTATTTCATTGGCTTCATATAGTTAATCATACTATCCAATTGTGTTGCCATGTTAGAAAATCTGAGACTTGTCTTGCGGGGTTGTCAGGTTGAAGTGTTTCATCTGAAGCAGAGATTGCAATCAATAGAGAATCGAACACCGACTCCCAGGAAACCCTTCCATGTGTAGTGAAAGTACATACATGAATTACTAAATGTAGAGCCTGGCTTGAATAACCCCGGTTTGTCCAAATAAAACCGGTTCTAGTCTGAATTCACATCCCATGGCTCCTTCATTTGTAGTAATCTGTAATTGTAATTACATGTTAAAACAATACTGTTTTGGCATTCTGTCATTTGCATTACTTCAGTAACTTGAGATTGAGAGGAAAATGGCTGGAATCACACATTTAAAGGAGATAAAATACAACTTCTGGGTTTGACTTGGAAGGATGATTCTTCCCTGTTCTTTGTCGAGTAAAAGTGAACCAAAAATGAAAGATACAATGACTAATATCAAACTTGAATCTTTTGCCTGTTTATAAAGGTGTTTGTTTTTCTTTTTTTAATATTATCTAACAACAGTAAAAAGTTTTATTTCCCTAACTGAAGTTAACTGTATGGATTATATTTTGTCAACTCCGGCTGGTGTCCCTATTAAATTTTTTTTTTTTTCATATTCAAATCATTTAAAATGATTTTTTTATCTTCTTTTCCTAGATAAATACCATTTGAACTTTTTTTTATATATGTGGTCATTATAAATTTTATCTTTATAAAGTATGCATTCTTCTTAACATAATCGTTTTTGTTACCCCTTCTTTTTGTCCATGTTTTTTATTCCTTTATTGCCCCTGTATTATAGTATTGTCAGTTTTATAGTACTTCGTTAAAACTTTCATTTTATTTTTCTATTACAAATAACCCTTTTTTTTTTCATCATTTTAACCGTCTAGTTTTATTCTATGCACAATCTTATTAGTTTCGCCCTCATTTGTGGTAAGATATGATCTCCAATCTAACTTGCCTCTCATTGAACTCAAGTCTAGAACTAATTTTTCTTGGCTTCCCACTAAGGATTATATTATCTGGGAAAATACATGCACTTAGAGATCTCTTTTTGTCAAAAAAGTTTATTTTTATTTTTATTGTAATCTAAACAAATTGTTTTTATTCTTATTATTTTCTCAATGGACGCAAGAAATTCCAACATTTGAAAAATGCCTGCGCTGTATATATTTCTCCGAATATGCAAAATATTTACGTCAATAAGCATTGAAAGTATTTGCGACTCAAGATTAATGCGACAAAGATGAGTTTTTGAAGTTGATAAGGTTGAATTCAAAATATTCATATTAAGCATAAATGCGCTTTATGCAGTTAATCTCACCAATATAACAACCTTAATTTCAAAGAATTCATATATATTTTCTTCTGGTTAAAAAATATAATTTGTAATATATTTATTTTACATCTCTTTTAATATGAAGGGTCCAAACTTTGAACACAAGTTGTAAATTAATATAGATAAAATAATTATAAAATGTTCACTAATTTAAGGATGAAAACAATGAAGGAATAATGGCAATTGGGTGTAAAAAAAAAGTGAAATTAATGACTATTAACTTTCAAAAAATTTATTGAAAAGTAAATTATAAATGTCAATACAAATAATTACATATATGAGAACTTTAATTGTAAATCAAGGATTTAAATCTCATATGTTACTTTCATGATTTGGGACCAAAAATCATATATTTGTAATTATTTAAAATAATATTTACAACTTACTTAATTGTCATCATCTCTAGTGAAAATGTTCTCAACAATAAAGTTATATATAACCTAGCATTTAGTTGATGGTTGATAGAGGAATAAATTTATTTTAGAATTTTAAGTTCAAATCCTGAAATATATCACTCGTGTTGAATTAAAATGATTAAGGCATATCAAGGCACCTATGGGATCTTTGTTGATCAAAACAGTCCCAAACAAATACAACAAAGGTTAGGATTAGTTTGAGCTAACGAAAGTAATATCTTCATATTTCCCACAACGCCAGGCAATGAAATAAAAAATAATTCATTTATTAACTTAGTTGCCTCAACAAGAACTTGTCACTCTTCAATTCATATTTCATTGTACTAAAAAGTATCGTTAATAGTTATGTACAAATGCATTTTCATGAGTGTTACAGGTATTGAATAAAAAATGGAAGATTATGTACCCATACTTGTTCGACTATCATTTACAACCCATCATTTAGTTTAGCATAATCTCGTCAAGTAATCAAGCAACGACGCAATTATGTACCCTGTCAAACATAATTGTTTCAAATTACATAATCATGTCAACCTAACTATGCACATTCAGAAAACAATATGCAACTTTTCACAAAGAAACTTGAGCAACAAACATCTGAAGTGTAATAGACAAGAAGATAAATCCTCTCAATTGCTTAAACGCTATTAATCATCACCTAGGTTGCATGGATATAATACGCCGATACGTGGATATTTTAATTTTTAAAAATATAAGATATGATACGTTTATAAGATGCGTATATATATTTTATAAAAAATATTAAAAATATAATTTAATTTAAAAAACATTCAAATTTGCATACATATATAATCCTTTATAACGATACCAAGTAAAATATAATCATTAATTATATTTTTAATTTATCTATACCTAATTGTCTATCACTTAGTCCCTACTAATAAATATAGTATTAATATCTCTTCCTCCCGAACCATCATAAGATTACATTTTCACATTTTTATAATTAAAAAAATGTAACATTTATTCTTTTATTACATCCAAAGCTTTCTTTAAAAAAAAAAAAATCTAACATTTGACTTTAAAAGCAAATCAAAAAATGACATTGGTAATAAAAAGTTTAATATTACAAGTTTTAATAAATTTAATTTTTTTTAATTTTTGGTTTTCTTGATTAACAATTTAGAAGTATTAGATACATATAAAAAAAATTTAAATTAAAAAATATTATTTTAATACTTTATGAATACATATAAAAAAGGTATCAATAAGTATCGATATCAGACACGATACCAATACGAATATGTGAAACAATTTGAAGCATCAATGCTTCATATATCATCACTCTTATGACTTGTGTGAGTGAGACCCACCTTGTGCAATTAATAATCACTCTTATGACTCCAAAATTACTCTAATAACAAATTATAATTTGTAAAGTACTATTTTTGTCAGCAAGAGATATGAAAGGAAAGTAACGAATTACAAAGAGAATACACATTTCACTCGGTGTCCATTTCATCTTTAGAGATATTTTAACTTGAAAAATCCAGATTACTCCATCAACAATTTACCCACCGCACCAAACAAAAAAGGATGAAAAAAACGATAAAACCAATTGGGAAAGTTCTCTATTGAACATAGACTCCCAAAAAATGGGCAGCAAATGAAGAATGCCAACTCAAAATGTTGAATAATGGAAATCCCATTGTCATGAACACCCTGCAAGTATCCAATTCAAAGGTTTCAACAGATACCTGACCATATTAAAGTAAACCATCTATGGCAACATCAGTTTAAAAGGATTGTTTAATACGCTTAAGCCTTGTAACTTATAAGCATTGAAAGCTTCAAAACAGCATTGTAGTAATATATATTTAAGGCAAAAGGACAAAAAAAAAAAAATACAGCACCCCCAGCTTCAATATACGTTTTTGCCAAACCATTGTAGGAAGAAATGGATCTTTGTTCACAGAAGAGGGTGATAGACAGTGATCAAGCAAATGTGGGGAGACTATAACTCTGAAGACTAGTTTTGTTTCGGTTCAGTTTTTTTTAATTCTCTCTCAAGAATTCTCCTTGCCCTGTCAACTTCCAAACAACAATGATCAAGTAGCATAAAGTTAATGGCTATACTCCCAGATGAAGAAAACACAGTAATAGAGGATATACGAAGTAAAAATTCTACAAGTTCAACACACAGAGTGAAGCAAACTAGATTCAAGTTTTTTTTGAACGATTCATTGTCTCTTGATACAATTTCAATAATTGAGGAGATTCATCGTCAAAACGATTGACATATCTCTCAAGGAATATGTTTTCAGTAATATAATAAGGGTATACGATACAAGCATTCTTAATTAAACCTCTTGAATGAATATATCGCAAGACATGAGCCCTTGGGATGATTCTTTTCTCCAAACTCATTGAAAAAAATATGGGATTATTGGCAAGCACACAGGAGTCCCAACCCATGTCATGCACAAAGAACTCCATCACTGCCTTAATCTTAGATTCAGATTTTAGCATACAATGAGGATGCAGTGCAAATGCTTTATCAATCTCTTCTTCAGACCAGCCCCACTTCTTATAGAATTCAACCTTCCTAATCCAAATGGATTTGCTCAACTTATTTGTGGCATATAATGCAGGAATGAATTTTGATTTTGAAGGGTCAAAACCTCTCTCCTTTACTCCCTCAACTGCCACTCTAAATTTATCTAAATTCATAGTACACAAGCTAGGCCACGCATGAAGCAATCCAGCAATGCCAGATTTAGGCACTCCGACGTCAAGCAAGAGTTGAATGTTAGTTTCCAGGAAATTACAATACATTATTCTATGACTACGCCGGATTGAGGTGATAGTCCTTTGATCAGATCCAACAAAACCTTTAACAAAATTATAACTAGGTATTAAACGATTTTCTAAGCTTCTGAATAAGATTCGAGGGCTTCTGGTCACGATGTCAACAAGTTGAGAGCTAGACGCACCTTTAGATAGTAAAAAATCAAGCTTAGGCCAAATAGTCATCCCAGGATCACTCAGAAGCAATCTCGGTGCCTTCTTGATGATATTGCGAATCTGCGAATTTGAAAAACCACATTTTCTGAAAAGGGAGAGAACGAAGTCTGGCTTTTCCGATGACTTCATAGTGATGCGATTGGAAATCTTCGATGCGGTTTGTCGGGAGAATCCACATTTACTAATAGGTAGTTCAACGTGAAAGACATTTTCTCTGAAGTAGGTGTAGATGCGGCTGTGCTGTACATTGGAGCAAAGGTTGATGACGAAACTTGTTGAAGAAGATTATAGAGCGACTGAATCGATGGGGTTCTTGTAAAACCCTTCATGAAGAACATGGATTTGCAATGGAAATCACAAGAAGCTGGAAACTGGTCGGAATCTGAATGACTGAATCTTTACTTCCACAAATGGTGATTCCTCTCTGCATCCAGTGCCAAAACGACGTCGTGCGAAGCCATTAGATGGTATAAAAAGATGAATAAAAAACATGAGAAATAAAATAAGTAAAATGATATCAATTCAAACTTCAATTTGGAAGAAAAGTTAAGTTCAAATTTCAATTCAGAACAAGAGATTGAACAAGCTAGCTAGTCAGTATTTGGGATTAACAAAACCACACTCACCACCCGCAGATTTCGACTGAAGAAGAAACTGGATTGAAGAGATTGAAGAAGCAAGTCCTCAAAGTCGAGTTCAAACCCACTATCAAAGCCTCAGCCTGACGTGCTTCCCTCACGCGCCGCCGTCGAACCCGCGCTGCATTTTCACCGACGCCTCCGCTCGTCCCTTGTTGAAGGGTTCCGTTAGCCGAGCATCAAGAAGAGGATGAGTAATTGATTTTATGGGGCTGAAGACAACGGTTAGGATTTTTTTTTTTTTTTTTTCACCAGAACAGTTAGGATTAGAGATTCTTATAAACGGCTCAGATCTGGCTTATATTAGTTAAACGGTGCGTTTCATGTTAAGTGCAAAGGGCTTCTTGCATCCATTTTGGCACAGCAGGCTGGTATCCGACTGGCGGTTTAGTTCGAGAAAGAAAATCAAAACTACTATTCGTTTTTATGTTTTTTAAAAACTTTTATAAAATGAATTTTAGGACAAGTTTTAGAAATAAAAAATAAAAAAATAAATTTGATTGAATTATTATTTGAAAAACATATCTAAATTGATAAAATAAAAGATAAAAATAATTTATTTTATTAACATAATTAACATTAATGAAAACATGATATTTTATGACTTTGCTTTAATTTTGCAGGATAAAAAGTAACAAAATATTTAAAATATGTTTTGATTTTTTAGTTTTTTGAAATAACTTTTAACCTTTTTGTTTTTCAAAACATATGGCAAAAAAAAAATATGTTCAAACATGTTTTTATATTTTAAAAAAACTGTTCTAAAAATAAGTAATTTAATAGATTATTATTTAGAATTAAAGTAAGAAATATTTTATATTTAAAGATTTCAAATTTTCAAGGGAGAATGACAAAAAAATCCTCTCCAAACATGAAAATAATAATAAAATAATGCAAAATGTAATGATTATTATTTAGATCCTAAGGGCATGTTTGTCATTTGACTTTTAACAAAAAGATATGTTTGCCCACAATGAAAATTATGAATTGAAAAATGACTACTTTAATTAAACTATTGACTACAATAAAATAGAAAATAACTAATGTTTTTTGTAAATTTTGTTTGACAATTAAGTGTAAATGCTAAAAAATTAATATATATACGTTGAAAAATGACTATTTTGATTGAAATATTAACTAAAATAAAATAAAATAAACTCATTCCTTTCTTTAAATTTTTTTTATTTATAAATAAATTAGAAAATGAATACTTGCTTTTTAAAAATGACTATTTTTTCTAAAAATGACTAATTTAGTTGTCCTTAATTGACAATAGCCCAATTAAAATAGTCATTTCTCAACATATAATAATTACTAAGGGCAAATATATCATTTCATCAAAAATAAAATGTCAAACAAGTTCTTAAAACTAAATAATAATTATCATATCTTGTGATATTCAACAATCGTATCAAAATCAAACCCTTGTGTCGTATCAAAATACGGTTTCACAAGAGAAGAGGATTAATTATTGTCGTATGGTTGTATGTTTCTGTTCCTATGAGGTTCCTGAGTCTATTTTTGGGCTGTATTTTGGGGCTTCTGGTGTTGGTACTAATACCCCATTTGTTGTGCTCGTTTTATTTATATAATATATATGAATTGGGGAAAAGAACAATTAAGGATCCCATAATATCATTAATTACTATTAAAGATCCTAAATTATTAAAATTTTAATAATAGACCATAGTCCTTACTTGAGAATTAAAACATCTGATTGAGTTTCACTTAAAAAATTAAGAAAAGAGACTATTGAAATTATTATTATGGATTGAGACAATTGTAAATTTTATTTGAGAAAATCAAGGTCCATATTTGAGAATGTGATTACCAATATTCCTAACTCATAATAATAATTTCATTAGTCCCAATTCATAACATTTGATGTCTTGATTTTTCTAATTGAAATTAACAATGGCTCTAAGCTATGATAATAATCTCAATGATGTCTTTTATTGATTTTTCAAGTAATTTAATTACATATACATTGATACACATAAAAATTCAAAAATGATTGGCTTCATGTTCAAGTGACTTTGATAAATTTTTAAGTAATTATTGTATATTCACAAGTACTTTCTAAAAGTTTTATAAATGAATTTTAATTTCATACTAGAAAAAAAAAACTCATTCCCAAGTGTAAATCCTAATTTTCTCATTTAAAATTAACAATTGTCTCAACTCATAATAATAATTTTAGTAGTATGTTTTTTTAATTTTTCAAGTGATATTCGAAGGCAATTTTGTAAAATTATATATGCTTTTAATTTCAAGCAAAGTTTATGGTCATTATTAGATTTCAATAATTCAAAATTCTTAATTATAGTTGGTGCTTTTATGGGGTCCTTAATTGTCATTTTCCCTCTGAATTGTCTCAGTTGAATAAAAAACAGAGAGAATTAGAGGATTAATTATTGAGCTACATCAGATACTGGTTCCAGGTTTAGTAGTTGAACTTTAATTGAATTGTGGGCTTATGGTAATTAGCTTTCAAGCAAAAAAATGTAAAGAAACGGGCTGCTTTCATAAATAGTCGGAACCAATGTGGGCTATAAATGGATTGGGCTGTTTTATAGCCCCATGTTTGCCACGTTCAAACATCAACAAAAATTGGGGAATTATACCAAGAAAGTTAGATATAAAAGAAGTAGCCAATTCCTTACGACTTAGTAAACCAAGTTTGAATTTGCATTAATAGAAATACCCATATTTAGTGCTCAATAGTGCTTTGAATAATATAACCTCTAATAGAATGATACATGTGATTCATCAAAAAAAAAATTAGGAATTACAATTTAGGGCGAATAGATAAATTAAATTTTATTTTGGGATTAGTACACTATAAACTTGTAAATTAGGACTTTTTTCTTTTCATGTTAAAATTCTGATCATGAGTTACAAATTCTCGCATCTTAGTGTCAATTTTAGGATGGTAATTGTCAAATCATAAATATGAAGCCAAAAAAATAACTATCATTAAAATACAAGTAAAAATTATTTGAAAAAATTACTATAAAATCCCTTACTTGGAGCGATCAAGACCCATTTAAGGACCAAATGCATATTGGGCTTACCCTTTTGCACTCCAAACCTATAATCTGAGCTATCATCCTGAAAATGATGGACTGCAGGAAAAAAAAAGTAACATTAATAACAAATTGTTCGAAACATAAGCATGTAAATTACAAGATATTTTTTTAAGGCTAATATGTAATTTTGTTGTGTAAGGTTATAAGCTTGATATGCAAAAGAATATGCTTGGGGTGAATGCGACCTATAATAGGTTTTGTGATAAAAGGTGATAGATTTGATGTGCAAAGTGATATGTTTGGTGTGCAAGGTGATAGAGCTAGTGTGCATTTGATCTTTAAATTGGTCTTAGTCCCTCTAAACAATTTTCCTTCCAAGGAGAGATTTTATGAATATTTTTGAATATTATTCCCTCCCTTATATGCTGTAAGTAAATCTATATATAATATGTTAGAATATAATTTTAACAAAATTTTATTAAAAATATTAAAATTAGTAAATATGATTATAGGGGCTTGTAGCCTAGCCTATTTAAACTTTGACCTAACTTGTTTAACAAAAAGGCCAAACTTAAACTTATAATTAAATCTATTTATATAAATTGGTTAGGCCTGTTTAATCAAAATTTAACTTGATCTGATCTATTTCTATCCTTAATCATAATCTAAGTGTAAGATTTTATGAAAAAAATTAATCTAAGATTTTAGATTTCACAATCACCTTTCACAAGTTGACAATGGAATGTGAGAATTTGCAATCATGTTTCAAATTTTAACATGTAAGAATGCAATTTGATTTTGAGATGTAATAATTTCCAATTCGTTCCAATTATTATCATGAAAGAGTTTTAAAAAACATGTTTAGCCAAATATATAATATTGGTGCAGAAATTTTATAGTTACCTTTCAAAATTAAACAAATTCCAGATTTTAATGTTATGATTTGCAACTCATATTCCAATTATTTTAATGTAAAAAATTTTTGTTTTATTTATTATTTTAATTTTCATGTAAAAATGAAATTTCAAAATTAATAAAGGAAATTCATATTAATTATATTTTTATTTATATATTTACATACCACATTACATATATATATATATATATATATGTGTATATGTATAATTGTATATTATTATGTATACAAATATAATATAAAAATATAATCAGGTAGGCCTAATTGGCCTACAAGCTAAGCTTTAAATAAATAAGCTTAACCTCTCTACTAAAATAGTCTTAGCGATGAATTAGTCCTCGTTTTTTTTAACAAAAAAAGAAAAAAGTTAAGTCAGGCTAGGTTTTGATTAGGTCAGGCCATAAACTCATGATAAACCTCTTGAAGAAACGTAATTTTCGATGATGCAAATTTGCAAGGTGATGAACTTAAAATAAATAATTAAAATTTGTCTCTGGGTCTGTCATTCAATTTATTTTCCTTCCAGAAACATTTCATTCAATTTAAAAAAAATCGAAATGTATGAATATTTGTTATATTAATATTTTATTGAATAGAAATTTCATTTTTAGTTTCTATCCTTCATTCGAGGGTTGGGAAGAATTTCATATCTAAAGAATTAAAATCTTGTTGCATTATTTGTCATTTATAAATTATAAATAGTGTGACTCATTTCTACTCTAGGATCAAGGCCTAACAAAATTTATATATTTGAATTACCCATATTAGTCAATGATTAAGTGACATGTTAAAGTAGGCACAAGCCAATAAGATAATCATAATGGATTAGTTAAGCCTTGTAATGCTCAAAGTCTAAACACTCACTTGAAAATATAAGTATATACACTTGCACACGCCTATAATTAACAAAATGGGTGTTAGAGAGTTCTTTTTTTAATAAAAAAGCTTAAATTAATTAGGCTCTGTATTGAAAAGATTATTCCTTAATTGTTAGTTATAGTCAACCCTAGCCCTATTTAGTGCTTTGATAAGCAATAATATAACCAGTACTAAATCTAGCTTCTTAATTATCCGTTCCATTAATATATATATATATATATATATTAAAAATCTATATAAAATTGTTTTGGCGTGTCTTTCTTCAACTTCCCCTTGAAACATAACATTATGGGGAAAATTGGATAAAGAAGCTAACCTTATATTGGGAAAATATAACTATTAATTCTTATATTTTTAATAAATTTTGGCAT